TATCTCAAAGCGCTTCACAGAATATACTGTAAATTGAATTGATTTATTTTGTGGGCGAAACGCAGCAGCCAAGCAATCGCACACAGCAGCGTCTCACAGACAGACGTGGATTGAAAGATTGAGTAGTGTAATTTTTTTATAATTGTAACTTTAGGGAAGCTTGTGTGTAAGAGAGCGATTGGATCGGAATGTTTGAAGAAAGGGAGAAAGAGATGGGAAGAAAGGGAGGGACGAAGAAAAGAACACGGTGAAGTTAGTAAGAATCTCTACGAAAGCTCTTAACATGACTGCTGGCTAAATGGAACGGATCCAGCTTGTAACTGGTTTTTAACTGCATCGATGAAATGATAAAACAAACAGTGCTGGGAACAAAATGCTGGAGCTCCCTGTGAAATCTACACCAGTTATTAGAGACTAATTTTCTCAAAACTCAAATCTCCTTTAACCCACAGAGACACCCTAATAAATTCATTGCATTCCTTGACAGACAGGTATTCACTAAAAACTCGCAGCAAATCGAGTGGATATTTACATCCGAGAATCTTTGTTTTCAACTTTTTAAAATAGAATCCTTGCATTTGATATTTGTGACCCAGATATATACTAACAACAACAACTTGCCTAGAATAACTTGTATATAGTGTGCTTCACGTGGAAAGTGTCTGTGATTTTCAGAACTTTCTCTATGTGAAAGGCGGGATAATAATAATAATGATAATAATAATAATCCTGGCATTTGATATAGGGCCTTAACACGTCTTCGAGACGTCTCAAAGTGCTTCACAGGATACACTGTAAAGTGAATGGACTGTCGTGGATTGAGTGACCAAATGATTAATATTTTTTTTTAAAAAAAATTAATTTAAGCAACTATTAATAACACAGATGTATTTGAGGGAAAGCTGGAGAGGTACATGAGGGAGAAAGGAATAGAAGGTTCTGCTTGAAGGCTTAGTTGAGGAAGAGCAGGAGGAGCCTCATGTGGAGCATAAACACCGGCACAGACCAGTTGGGCTGAATGGCCTGTTTCTGTGCTGGAAATTCTAATGTATTCTAACGTATTAGGGATGTAAATACAACTTTCTTGAGATCTTCGCATGGAGTGTGTGAGAATGTGGACTAGAAGACTGTAGATGCAGAATTGATAAGGATGCTTAAAGGGGAGACAGCTAAAGGGAAGCCGGGACATTAAGGGGTATTGAGAAAGCTGGGATTTAGGATTAAAGATCATCTGTGTTAAAATAGCGGAACAGGCTTGAAAGACTGAATGGTCTCCTCTAGGTTCCCAAGCTATTATTGTTCTGCTTCAAAGAGTTTCAACTGTTTTCTCAACTTTCAGAGATTAGTTAATGACTTTATAGTGAAATACTAATGAGTGGCTTGTTGTTGTTTGTTGATGTCTCCCACACCAGGCTCCGTGAACCTCGCCCAGCTCCACTGGCTCCCCATCCCCCAGAGGATAGAGTTCAAAATCCTTGTCTTTGCTTTCAAAGTCCTCCGCGTTCTTGCTCCCACTTCCCTAACTCTGTGACCTGCTGACTCCATATGACCTGTCTTGTTCCTTGCGCACAGCAATGTCCCACGAACAGCCATGGAGCAAGTGACCAATTTTATTTGAGGGATTGTTGGCCAGGACACCGGGAGAGAGAAACTCTCTTCTCTTTTCACATAGAGGGACCTCAATTTAACGACTCACTGGAAGGCCGACACCTCAGACAACGCAACACACGCCCAGCACTGTGGGTTGGAATGGCAGCTTAGTCCGTGTGATTCCAAGTCCCAATATGGGGCTTGAACCCCTCGTTGGGATTTGCAACTACAGGAAAAGGGCAAATAAATGGGACTGAAAGATTTGTTCTTAAAAGAGAATACAGACAGGATGCCTCTGTCTGTGCTGTAAATCTCTACGGTGCTATGGTTTGGGTTTAATCCCCTCCCCCAAAGAGGAGTCAAATTGCACTAAGCATTTCATTCCTTCATGACATTGGACTCTTCTGTCAAACGCTCATTGAGATCTCTAGATATCAGAGACCGGTGGAAAGAGCCCAGTCATTGAAATGGACCAGCAGACACAACAAGAGATCTGGCTGCCTGAGAGGTTTGCTGAAGAGCCACAGACTGGTAAAGGTTATTATGCACACTTTAATACTGGCCACTTGCAGCTAATACGTGACTGACAACAGCACATACAGTTTAGATATTTCCATTAATCTGCAAAATTTCTTAGATTCTGTCATTTTATTTGACAGCGATAATAATAATTCTTGTGTTTGATACAACGCCTTTTCATTATTATTATTATTATTATTATTATTATTATTATTATTATTATTATTATCCATGTTCCCCAATTAAAGTCAGCCCCAGGGTTCATCCAATGCTGTGTTGAGGACGCTGTTGGCTCAGGTTAGCTGCCACATGTGCCTTGTCACTATACTTCAACACACTCCAGAATGTGAAGTGCTCCAAGGTGTTTTGACCCGATAAGGTGTGACATCAGACGGGTGGATTATTAATTGAGTACACCCCAGAAGAGTAAACAAAAAGGATTTTGATGGGATGGGATGTAGGAAAACTCCTGCGTGGTTGTGAGCGGAGAATGTGCTGAGGAGCGAAAGTAAACAAAATAGCATAAAAGTGCTTTCAAAACGAATATTAATGAATTGGAAGAAAGTCTTTGACGGAGTCAAGCTTTTTTTTCCAGCCCCGATATGGTTCCTCGACCTCTTGAAGAATCCAACAGAATAAACATGTTTCAATGAAACCATGTCATCTCTTTCCTGGAACGGAATCTGTCCTCTGCACATAATTCACGAGTCACGATTTGCTTCTTGTTAGCAAGAGTGTGAGTGCAGGAGCAGGTCACAGGCTTGCCCTGCACACTTCCTCACTTTAAGCCGTGGGTCAGGGATTTTAATGATTGGCTCAGTTGGCCCCGAGTAGGAATAATGTGGGTTCAAATACCCCATGTCATGGCTTTGAATCATGTAGTCCAGGCTGATGCTCCAATGCAGTGTTGGATTGACCAAGGTGCTATTCTTCCGGTGAGATGTTAAACCAACGTCCCATCTAAAGACACTAAAGATCCTGTGGCCTACTCGAAAAGAGAAGAGAGTCTCTCCCCCACTGTCCTGGCCAGCGATCCTCCAGATAAAACTGATCACTCACTTCATGGCTGTTTGTGAGACATTGCTGCGTGCAAATTGGCTGCCACTTTCACTATTAAAATACAGTCACTACACTTTACAGTAAATCCTGCGAAACACTTTGAGTTCTCTTCCGAAGTAGATGGAGCTGTGGCAAATGTAAGAATTATGATTAATACTATTATTATTATTAAGTCAGAAGAGAAACTCCTTGCAAACGTTGCTCATTCCACAATCATAATGGTTCGCTAAGATCAATGAGCATCACAGGTTTGACTCCAGTCAAAATGGAATAAGTGGCTGACAAGAAGAAGCCTGTCTTTGCTATGACGATTTCCACCAAGTTTCGGCAGCTCTCAGATGCCACCCTTCCATCACACACCACGTGGCTGCTCTAATCCTACGAAGCACATGCACACACGCTCCTCTGACACTTAAGTGCTTCAAGCGGGTACCCTACATGAAATGCTGTTCGCACACAAGTTGTTGTTGTTGCTGCCAGCCGGAATCAATCAAGTTGGATGAGGTACGAGAGGGCGACTGACACCAAGAGAATTTAAGGAGTCAAACTCCTTCAGGAGAGAAATTGGAGCAAAGTGAAAGATTCGAAGCAGGGATTGTGAAACATTGCTGTTTTTGGAGCAAGCTGGGGACTTACCGGAGTAGGAGTGAGAGAGCGACCTCCCTTTAAGCAATTCAACCAGTCATTTGAAAAACATGCGTTGGATAAGTAAATGGAGTGAGATATCTATCTGCCTTTGTATCTGTACGGATATTGCATGCTCTGTTTAATATAGCCACAAACATTGTTGATAAACAGAGAAGCTAATTGAAAGTTTAGATAAAATGGTTTGAAACGCTTTACAATTGCAATTGAGGCTTCTTGGGAGAAAAGAAGTGGAATTTGGGTCTTCAAAGGGCCTTTTATTTTAAACAACACAAGACATCCATAGCATCCTGACATTAACAAACACAACAGTTATAGCACAATACACCAAACATGGATTATCTATGACAAATACATCAACTGTTTAAAATGACCCTTGTTTGATATCGGAATAAAAACAAATGCTTGTAAATTCAACAGCTCGTTAAAAACTTGCTATAAACTTCTGAGGGTAACTTTAAATGCCTAAATGTGTGGTACTGTTGGAGGAGATATCCTGTGGTTGAGATGTTAACCTGAGGTCCCATTTGCATGTTCAGATGAACATCAAAGATGCAACTAGAAGAGAACAGTTTCTCCCTATCTCCTGGCCAACATGGGACATTGTTGGACATAAATTGGCTGCCTCGTTTCACCCACGAAACACTCAGTCACTCCACTTTCCAGTACATCCTGTGAAGCGCTTTGAGGAGACCTCTTGATGTGAAAGGCGCTGTACTAATTTGGGGGATTATTATTATTATGTTACTACAGTTTAAATCACTGTGTAGTGGTAACTTCATAATGGTTTTCAGTGAATGGTCAGCCAGACCAATAACACTGCCATGTTATATATGAATCAATGTGACTTTTCTTAATATATTTGAGGTTCCTAAAGTAGCTGATTTCTGCAGGAGGTTGACGTTTTGTTCACCAGGTACGTTGTCAGCCATTTCTGAAAAGTCTTATTAACAGTCCCAGTTGCAGGAATGAAAATAGGAATGATTCCTATTATTACTGTTACTATCAGAATGGTTTAGATTGAGGTGGCTATTCCTGGCAAAGAACCCAATGACAAAGCTGAGCACAACAACATAAAATAATATCCGAATGGTGAACATGTACAGGCGTCGGGGTACGGACGGGGAAACAGTGGGTTACAAACAGAACCATTGCATCACTATAGCTGTGGCAACTTTATAACTCACCCTCGCACATCTCAGCTGCTCCATGTCTGTAAATCACGGCTCCCTGTTGTGCATCCTCCCTGTACTTCAATAGAAAAACACTGTTCATAGGGTGAAATAACCCAAATTCTTACAGCTTTCACCTCTTTTGGAGTCCCTGTAGCTCAGTGGTAAGAGCACTCGCCTCGCAAGTGAGAGAACCTGGGTTTGATTCCTGGGCAGGGCAAAACATTGGGCAAGTTTCCTTACTCCACACGCCTCGGTTTACCCAGCAGCAAGTAGGAAACCTGGTTGTTAATTGCTTGGCAGATTGCTTTTCTGGGGGTAATAATCACTTCAAAAAAAAATAATTTGGTCACTCAATTCATGCCTGTTTGTGGATCGCTGCTGTGTGCAATTGGCTGCCACGTTTCACCCACAAAATACAGTCACCACAATTTACAGTATATTCTGTGAAGAGTTTTGAGACGTCTCAACAATGTGATAAGGCGCTATTATCAAATGCAAGGATTACTATTACTAAGAACTGTGGAAAATCCGAGTTAAGTTAAACCTGACTTTTCCACAATTCCACATGATGTTGGAGTTTAAGACAAAACAGACGGAATTTAGGATTGGTGCTGCAGTGCGGTACAAGTTATGAAGGGACTGTTAGACCCCACAGAATAAACCAAGTCTCTCTCCAGATGTGGCCATTGTCATGGTCCATGAAACTTGAACGTCATTGACCCTGAACTAGACTGCTGATGATCCGAGCATTTCACACTTAGTCCCCTCGGTGAAGATCAAGTGTGCAAAAGCTGTTCAGATTTATTGTGCTTCGGGGAGGGGAGGGGGAGGGGAAAGGAGAAAAGAAAAGCAAACTTTTCCCACGCTAAATGGGCAGTTTTATTTTAGGTATGAACAACAATCCTACAACGATACAGCGATTTTAACCTCTTCGATGCAGGTCTCATTCCAACCCGGTCTCCACACTGGCTGCTTTCTCTCTCCCGCAATCTGTTCACTTATGAACTAGTTCCTGGATTCCCACAGCTATTTCAGCCCTAATTTTGAATTGAATTAAAACTATTGCGGATTAAAAAGGCAGATAGACATCTATTGAAAAGCAGGTGCACCACAACGTCTGTGGCAAAATACCGAATTATCACGCTCAGAGCAACAGTGCCAGGCAACGGGATCCAAATAGCAGGATTTCTTAATTTAAAAAAATGTGTAATTGTTGAAATGCTGGAAACGCATTGTTCAGCACATTCCGCGTTAGAAATCCAATTCAATGCGTACACATATCTTATTATGAAACCTGTTAAGGAATATCGCAAACTGGGCCACAATAAAATGGTGGCTCGTGCTAATGGACAGTGCCCGACAGACTCCCTATTAGTGCCCGAGCAGTCTAATGTATGTTTTTTTTAGTGATGTATTAATGAAGAATCTTTAATACACACAAATGTTGACTCCTTCTGATAACTGGATCTACTTTGCATCGAAACTCCTCTCCAAAACAGTCGACTTCCAAACTGGATTGACAGAAATTGTAACAGGATTCCTTACCGAGGAAACCCATGAACAAATATCAAGTGTACAATTCCTGTGTTATTTAGAAACTTAGGAATTCAGTGTTCTGCCACAGTTTCCTTTACCGCAATCTCTATACAGATTATCTACTGTGTCATGCTGATAATCTGTCAGGCCCTTCTTTAATAAACCCTCTCCCCACTGTTTTTTCCCCTGTTTACAAAGTTATTAACAAGTTGATAAAACGAAGATCCTTTGCTCTGCAATATCTTATTGGCGGCAATTATTTGAGTCTTGGTTCGGATTTGGAAAAGCCAAGCTGACCCCTGGCTCAGTCTCAGAACTCTCTGGCTCACCCACCTCACAATAGTTTGAGGGATTCAGTAGAAGCACGGTGGTGTAGCAGAACATCATTTTTCCAAGATCGGGAGAGGTGGGGGTGGGGTTTGGTGGGGGGGGGGGGACGTTTTGGTGGGGGGTTTGGTGGGGAGGAAGGGTTTGACACCTACGGAAAATCCTACCACATTTGCCAACAAATTACAGTCCCTACACATGAGTTATAAAGATGTATGAAATGGCTGTGACATCTCAGGTTGATAGATAGATAGATTCGGGTGAAATTATTTCCACTGGTTGGTGAGTCAAGTGACAAGAGAGCTGAGCTAGACTGCTGAAGATCACCAGCAAAGGAGCAGAGGGGACAGATTAGGAGAATTTTGTTTTGCGCAAAGTTGTGAGGAAGCGGAACTCCTTGCTGGGTGTGGTGGTTGAAGGAGAATTCATGTCAGCTTCCGACAGAGAATGAGAGCGATTTGCCGGGCTCTGGGGAAACTGCAGATATATTGGACTGAGATAACACGGACCCAATGGGCGGAATGGCCTTCTCCTGCGCTGTAACTTTCTAGGCTTCTAAAGAATGTTGGGCTCTGAAAGAGAAAAGAAAATTCTGCTCCACATTGTCAGTCCTCACCTTCGCGAGTCCATAATCCAAAAAGGAAAGATAAGACAGACTGGAGAGTACAGGCCTAGAATGTCACTGTGATTCTAAATAATGTTATTAAAATGCCATTTATCTTCATTGTTCAAATACCAATTCCTGACAAGAGTACGGATATCAAGACACCCTGAACACAGGGCTCATAAACTGAGGTTTACTGTTCGTGTTTTGCAAAGTGCTGTCCTTTTTGCTGGCTACTCCTCATACATTTACTTAGATTTGTAGTGGAACAAGTGATTTTTGGCATTTCAGGCTTCACAGTAACCTCTGTAGCAAATTGTGAAACCTTCAGGAATTGAAGAAATGTATTAAATCTCTGAGACATCTTGCCACGAGCAAAAATAACAACTCCATGGCTCCACTTCAAGGGAGTCTTACTCTTTGTTACTACATCGACTGCAAAATTGGACACTGAGTGAAAGCAAAACGACATCGCAGCACAGAAAACCTGTTCAATTGGTGAAAGCCACAAGACCATTCAGATCCCATTAGTCCCATTCTGTTCCAAAAAACAGCGTGCATTTATATAGTGTCCCTCAGTGTAAGTGGTTAGTGTGTTAGCGAGAGGACCCGAGTTCGATTCCAGGGCAGAACGAAACCTTAGGCAAGTTACTTACTCCACACACACATACGCACGCCTCTGTTTAACCAGCGGTAAGTAGGAACCCGGTTGTTAGTCGATTGGCGGATCGCTTTCGGGGAAAAACTTTTCTCTATCCTGAGACCCTCAGTGGATGGATGAGGAAGCAGCTGGTGGGTGAGTAGGTTGGAGCAAACCAATGACCTGCCTCCAAGGCTCCGAGCACCACCAAGACTGTGTGGCTTTCACTCAATTGTTCGATCTCAACTGAGAATAAGATGGTGTTTTACCAGCAAAACTAATAAAACCCAGAGCTGGACTGTGCTTTGGAGTGAGCTGACAATTTCCAACTGTTGTTCAGTACACATAGGAATACTAATGAAATGTGACGTCTTAAAAATGCCCCCCCCCCCCTCCAACAGCACTCCGGCAAATATATAGCTGTCCTTTCTTCTTGAGCCAAGTGCACACAGCCTTATGTTACCAGTAATTTGGAATAGATTTATAAGTCATGCATTAGCAATAATAAAAAGGAAACCATCTGCATAAATCTGGTTCTAAATGATTTACCTTTCATCTCCACAGATGGATCACAAACATCTGCAGAGATTAAGGAGCACTTTGTTTGTAACATAACTATTTATGATAATGCTGACTACACAGATGTTTCTGCATGTACATGATAAAGAGGGCATCACCTTCCCAATCCAGACTAGCTCTCCATCCCCCACCTCCCTCCCTCCCTCCCCCACCTACATCCCAACCTCCATAGAATATCAAGACTCAAAATAGCTTCCAGCACAACTGTGGAGTTTACAAATGTGCAGAACCAACATGTGGCTAAACTGTTCAGTTTAGGACAATTGGAAGATATTCTGGGTATAAATATTATGCAATAAATACAAGCATCTCACAAATAATAGTTTCCGAAGAAACGATGGGCACTGGGAGTCCAATAACAATGCTCCCGCTTATTGGACTCACTCCAAACCTTGTCAACACTTTGATGAATAATTGCAAACGATGAGGCGAATATTTAGTTCGTGCAGAATAAGAGTTGCATTAGAGAAAACAAACATCGGAGATTTATAATTCTGTAAATGTTTGGATGCAACTTTGCAGACAGAGTTTGGTCAGTTGCAACCCTGGCGTGTGCGGAAACTGTTTGAGTCTCCATCTCCAGCTGCCGAGAGCTCCCAGATAGAGATCTGTTTGTTTCTTGCCATATCCCCCCCCACCCACCCCAACCCGAGACAAGAGAAGAGGGTCACACCCCACTTATCACTCCCTCACCCCACTTATCACTGCCCGAAGCACACAAGTGCAGAGTTGATCGGGTGATTTAAAAGGGATTTTGACAAACACAAGTGAAGAAAGAATATTACAGGGTATAGGGTTAGCACAGGTGGCTGCTTCGCGTGAAAGGCACTGCATAAATACAAGCTGTTGTTCTTCAATGGAGGAACAAACACTATCATGAAGGGTTGAGAAGCCTCCTGCTGTGCGAACTCCAATTGCAAGTTGGGGAAATTACTGGAAGTTAGTCACTTTCTAAATCTGTACAAGGCACTGGCAAACTTCCCGCTGAGTAAGCAGCAAAGACCACCCAACCCATCAGGGCACTAGATTGCAGGCGAGTGAGTCAAATCCCAAATGACACGTACATGGCCCAAATCTCATTGATGAGCAGGGGAACCTGGTGGTGAATGATCAACAGTCCCCTGGAGAACAAGTCTCCCATCTATTCACAGCGCCAGCTGAGTGAACACGAAAGGCCCTGATAGATGGGAACACCATATGATAGCCTGAGTTTGAGGATGTGTGGGAATGGAATCAGACCCACAGCCACAATGCAGCTAAATATTAATTTTCATAACAACAAAATCAAGGGGAACAGGGATCAAATTTGAGGTCAGGAAACATTTATAATAATCCTTGCATTTGATATAGCACCTTATCACTTTGTTGAGACATCTCAAAGCGCTTCACA